TAATAATAATAATAATAATAATAATAATAATAATAAAAATACATTATTAGTATATATATCTATATATATTAATATATTATTATAATATACTAATAATATATTAGTATATTATAGCATATTACTATAATATACTAATAATATATACATCTATATATTATAGACAATAATATATAGATGGTAGAATATAGATGAATCCTACCTTCTTAAACATAAAGCAATAAATAAATAAGATATAGACAAGCGTGCTGTATGAATAGGCAGTGGAAATATTTCAAAATTCTATTTTAGTGTTTAGAAAGATGATGATAGAGCAATCTTGTATATAACCACCACCCCGACTTTAATGTTTTAATGTGCTTTACTCCCAGTAAGCAAGTTATTATAGCTCAAATATAAATCTTGAGGGATGGGGCAAATGGTTTTGTTTACACAGAATGTTCCTATTGAAAACTAAATTAAATAGTTTAATTTAATAGTAAATTAAACTATTTCAGATACATATGTGTTTGTGTGTGTAAGAAACTTTTACAGGAAAGAGGAAAATAATATAATTAGAACATATTCTTTAAAACAGGATTTTAAAAATAATCCCCTGCAAGAATGTTATACTACTGTGTTTTTAAAGCGTGTCATTGCTGATGATTACAAGATCGCCCACAGATTAAATATGAGATTGTGAAACACCAAGACCAATAGCTTTTGTTGTTTGGGACTGCTTGGATGATGTCTCCACCACAAAGGACACATCTCCTTTATAGCACCAGATTCCTGCTTTAATAAAATGAGCTATTTTAGATTGCTACGTAGGAATAACCAAAAGGAAAGCTGTTAATTTCTACACACACTGAAATTCAGTGGCAGAAGACATAGGAAAAGGCGTGGTTTAGGACCCAGAAAGCCTCGTCAGGCGGTAGTTGTGCAGATCACTGGGAGACTCTAAAAGGGTCCGGTTTTAATTCTGCCTCTAATCTCTGCAACAGCCGCGCTTCTCCCAGCAGCTCAAGGTTGGGTTGATCCTGACCGTGGCTCTGGATTTTCGCTCTCTGTTCCCGCCAGAAACTATGTCGCCGGTTCCTTCGCAATGGACGCCGTAGAAGAAAAAGTGATTTCAGATGCCCGAGTCTGAGATCGCGGTATAAAGGAAGGGGTACAAAAATGAAGACGCTGATGGTAAGTCAGTTGATCCCAGATCGCCCCGAGGTCTTGAAATTAAACCACGAGATTCGGCGTGGGAACTGGCGGGTGTTCTCAGCGTTTCTAAGGCGGACTGGATTTGTTATTTCAGCCGGGGTTGGGTGTGCAGCTTTTCCCTGTCGATGGGCATTTTGCAAAACCTGCGAAAACCTGCAGGAAGAGGGGAAGAACTTTCCGCTGCTTGCCTTTCTTTGGGAGGCGTATGTAGGGTTGGGGTTTAGGGCTGGCGGGGAAGATGAGACCTGCTTGAAATGAAGGGATGTGGGTCGTCATTAGTAATAATAAGAGCGATGATGATGATGATGATGATGCTCTGGTACTTTGAGCAGCAGTCTCCGACCTAGCATTTAGGGCTATCTATATTCACGCCTTAATTCTTGGAGAGGAAAGGCGGGGTACAAATCTAGCAAATCGATAGATTCAAAACACAAGCAAAAATGAGAGGTCAACGGGGATGGTTGCCAAAGGAAAAGTGGGCGAGCCCGAGAGGGGTGTGGATATGAAAAAGGACTAAGAAGCGGCGGAAGTAGGGGAGAGAGAGAGAGGGCAACACATTCCAACAACCAAGTGCACTTTTCACACAGGGCGCCTTTGCTTTGGAACTTGCGAAGGGTTGGACGGAGGCGCGCGGTCTCTTTCCACCTCTCAGTCAAGAATTGTAAATGAGATACCCGAGCTAGCGGTCCGCCTTCTTCCCCGCGCCCCTCAGCTGCCCTTTTCCAGAATTCATCAGAAAACCGCCCACCCCTTCCAGAAGAAGTCAAAACTTCCACAGACGGCAAGCTGCTTCAACAAGGGGCGTGCGCTCTCTTGGAAGCCTTGAGGGGAAGAGGGAACGAGCAGCCTTGCTGAGAATTCATTTACCCCGACGGGAGTCCTGCGGGGCATTTGCGGCACTGCCTAATTGCAGGAGGTGGGGCGGGGGACAAAACCGGCGGGAAATCAGAGGGGCAGCCAGGCACTGCTGCAAGTCGCGCGAAGCGGGAAGAAGAGCCGCGGGGAGGGAGGCTGTGGAGCTCGCACAAGCTCCTTGGGAGACCCTGGCGGCCGAGCAGCGTTACCTCGCCGCCGCAGCCTTCTCCACGCATCGCTGTGGTGCTGAGTCCACAGCTTTTTCCTCATTGCCTGCCTCTTGCCACCTCAACCCTGGCCCAAGCTGTGTCCAGCGGGTTCTCAGCCTCTCCTTGCCCCTCCCTCCTTACAGCGCCATGGGCTGGCTGTGTCTTTAGCGCTCACCACCATGTGCACGAGCTTGTTGCTTATGTACGGCAACATCGGGAGCGGAGGCGACGGCAATGACGGTACCGGCGGCAGGCGAGCCTTGAAGGAGCAAGTCCAGCAGCAGGTGGCGGCGACCACCCTTCAGAAGCCGGAGAATCAGCAGCGACTGGGTAGTACCTCCCTGCGACCCTTTCCGGGACTCGCCGACCGCCCTTTGGAAGGCTACATCAGCGTCCTGGATCACAAGGTGAGCGCAGAGAAGCTGTACCTCGGAGGGAGGCGCCAGGCAGATGATTGGCGTTTAACTCTCTGCCTCCCACTTTAAGGTGCTGGATAAAATGATTTGGAAAAGGAGGAACATTGCAGGGAGACCAAAGGTCAGAAAGGAAAGATGCTCGCACTCTGTTCTTTACATCATGGCAATTGCGAATGGAGATTTCAAATGCACCGTTGTCTTTTCTGAAATGTTGACACCTGGGCAGCGGAAGGGAGGTTAGGGTTGTGGGATGTTTTGAGCAGGAGAGCTGTCTTTTGAATGATTGCTCTGTATTCTGGATAATGGCAATCTATAAAGAATAATGATGGTGACAACAACAGAGCTTAAGAGACTCTAAACAGCAAGCACCACATCCCTCCCACAGGTTGTTACAGATGAATGTTTAATTTGGCAGCAATGCCAGACTCATTTCAAGGTAATTTACAAATAGTTTACAGCATGTTCTATTTCCTTGGAAATATTTGCCCTGCTCTGAAAGGTCAAGTTGCCACTCAGGCAGGTCCTAAATTATCTAACAGATAAGTAGTTTTGATCACTCTGCTTTGCTGGAGTGGTTCTGTAAAAAGAGGGCAGTTTTTAAAGGGCACATTTTACTTTTAAAGTGTCACTTAGGAAGTAATAGGAAGTTTCTACTTCTTGCGGGAATAACATCTATGATACTGATTTTTAGTTCTCTGTAGATTTGAGACTGTCGGCATTCAAGAGATAAAAGAAAAAAGTAGAATTTACAATTACATGTTCATTTTAAAAAATACTGTATATGCTGATTAAGAAGCCAGGTGAATGAGTGTGAAGTGGTTCTGTATATATTATTCCTAAAATAGTCATCAGTGAAAAAAACAAAAAACTGGTTACTTAGTCAAATTCAGAAAGCTTTCAAGATACAGTTGTCCTTCATATTACTTTATTTTGAAAAGGAGTTCAGAAACATGTTCTATTAGTGCAGCAAGAGATCCTGAAGGAGATTTTTTAAAATTATATTGCCTCTGTGTAAGCACTCTCTACCTTAAAATACTTTTAAAAATACTAATACACTCATTACATTAATATGTCCCTTGAAAGTAGCTGCATCTTTTTCATCAGGCTCACCAGGAAGCTTGAAGACACATCTGCTTCTTAAAAAATGCTATGGTCATGCACCCCTTCTTTCTGTAGCACCTTTTCTGAAGCATTTTAGAAGAAGGCATAGCCGAATTAGGTACCGTAATAGAATTCAGAAAGAGGGGTTTTAACCACTTCTATACTGTTGCCAGAAAAACTGCATAAATATGTCCATGGTGCCTCCTTCCTGTCATTTCTCCTTTGTTTAGAGTAACCCCAACTGGTACGGAATTCCGGAAACCTATTAAGAACTGGTTATTCCAAGAAACGTGTTTGTGGAGTATAGTGTCAACACCCCTTTGCAGGGAGCGCTTGTTTTAATGGAATAGTGTTTTCTTAGCATAACCAGTTGCAGATTATTCATGTTTTCTTTTATACTGTTTTAACCTTTGCTACAAAGGTGGAGTGTTTTCTGCTTAGAGTTGGCTACAGCTGAAGAAGCCTGCATGCCTAAAAATTAAAAATAAATAATAGCCACCAGGAGTCAACTACATTTAAGGGCATCTATCTTTCTATATTATCTACCATATTGTCCCCATGGCCAACCTAAGGATTCTCATAATTTCTAATGATCAGTAAATGTTGCTCATGGAACAGTAATGTTAATTTCAAAAGTCCTGTTTGTAACTTTAACTAGTTTTATTGCTTCTTGATTTCATGATGTATAGTCCCTGATTTATCTTTTGATTAGTTTTGCCAATGTGTTAGTTTCTCTTCCTGTGGTAGAGTGAGGCTTTAATTATTGATTTCCTGTCATTCCGTCTTTTCTTTTTAAAATGGCAAAATAGTATCTTAAAAAAAACCAATGCTTTAAATGAAAGGAAAGCGAGGAAATCTATAACTCACGCTATTCTCCACTTCAGAAAAATAGACTAACATCGTTTTGCTGTTTAGAGAGTTTGGTGAGTAAATAAAACATTTGCTGTCACTAATCCTACCCTCAACCTCAGCCCAAATCAGCAGGAAACAATACAGCTGGTAGAAACTACAAAGAAAGTGTTCATTGAATCACAGAAAAAATAAAAGCATTTATAGAACTTGTCCTGTAGATTTTGTCAATAAATCAGATCTGAATAACATGGGAGAATTTATCAGAAAATACTGGAATGAAATGACACTAATCACAAAAGAATATGAATGTTTCATTCAAAGTGAGAGAGGAAAGAATAGTAATTCCAGATAAAAGAATTAGCCTAAAAATAATGGTTCTGGAGGCTATGTCTAACAAGCCTTACAAACAGAGATTATGGTAAAAATCAGTGTTCCATCCCAATTTCAGCTGTTTTTTTAAAATTATTATTTACATTTATTGCTTCTTTGCCGAAGTACCATACATAATTTCTGTGAGTCAACCCTGATCATATTTCAAAAGTCAGTAGTTGCATTCTTCCTTCCATTCATCTCTGTAGGCCTGATCCATTGAAAATCAGGGTTGCTTTTTCCAGAAAGAAATGTCAGTGTGAGCAATTTAACAAAAATGAGGCTGTCCGTGCTGAAAAACACAAGGTAATACTGATAATTTGCAAGTCTTTTATATAGAATTCATTTTAAAAAGAAATGTTAGTATTATTCCTTTCAGGAAAAACTCCTTTTATTCTATATTAATTGCCACTTTTCCTCATTACAGTTTTTCCATTTTTTAATTGAGTCAGTATTTAAATAATTGGCAGTAAAATCACTTTCCATAGAAACAGTTTTGGGGGAAGAAATCCTTCAGATATCAGTTAGTTTGCATTTTCAGTAGAGAGCCATACAAAGAAAAGTTCTGAGGACTTAGATATATTCTTAAATACTTTCACCGAATAAGATAGCCAGTATATAACATTTATTGTAATTAGAAAGCAATGTTATGTGTATAGAAATGGAGCAAGAACAGTATTGTAATTAAGTGTGTGATGAAATGTTTGCATATAGTTCGTACTTCCATAATCTCCAGTATTGAAGAACACTGTTGGGTACATAATTATTTTGTGTAAATCAATGAGAGATATTACTGGTATTTGAGAACAAAGAATATACTTTTTATTCTGTACTACGGAGACCGATTTGTTACAGTTACAAAATATAGTTGGAAATCTATTGAGAGTTGCTGCTTCATCTCTCTTCTGATACAAGATAAGTCCATTATTTAGCCACTGATAAAATATATCAGCTATTCAATTCAAGCTTTACATCAATTCACTTTTACTCTGGAGGGTGAAGATTTTCTAATATACCAGAGATGTTATAATATTGAGTATATTAATGGAATATTTGTTGGATAACAGATCTAGCTGGGGAGTGTTTTATTCAAGAAAAACCTGTTTTACGGTTGAGATATCTTTATATGGTTATAGATCATTTTTCCAAACATGTCCCAATCTGCTTACTATTGATACATTAATGTTTATTTATTAAAAGCATTTTATGCCTTTTCTTAAATAGAAAAAAAATGCTTTCAAGGCACTTTAAAGAAGTAAATAGTAAGAAATTCCTTGCCTTGAGCTGTATGATGTAAGAGATGGCACAAAAGGAAAAGAATTTGGGAGGAATAGCAAACTGAAGCATTTTTTTTTTTTTAAATGAGAGATTTTATCGTGACCAACTGGAATGGAAACTGCTCAAGAGAAGGAATCAGATGTTACTGATGTTTCCTAGTAATCAACAGAGTAGCCTACTTCCCAGTTCTCTCTCTATCTCTTACAGCTGCATAGTATGAATTGCTACATGAGAACTAAGTGAAAGTCAATACTTGATGAAGCTGAAATCAGCAACTGATGGAGTGTTGTTGCTTCTCTCTTTCTCAGTAGTTAAGATTCCACCTAGGGATAGGATCACTTGGATAGATTTTTTTTTAAAAAAAAACATTATTACATTTTTATCCCTCCTTTTTTATATATAACCCAAGGAGGTGAACATACCTGCCTCCTATTTTCCCCATAGGTGGGTTGGGCTGAGAGAGAGTGAGTGGCCCAAAGTCACCCAGCTGGCTTTCATGCCTAAGGCAGGCCTAGAACTCACCATCTCCTGGTTTCTAGGCCAACACTTTAACCACTACACCAATATGGCTTTTTGATAGAATAATTGATCTACAAATTCATTGTCTGCAGAAGAATCTGCAAATAGGCTTTCTTTTGGGGTCATTTGATAATAATTAGTTTTTGTTTGGGCTAGCCTCAATTAAATTAGAATGTAAAATTAAAAGTAGGAAAATGTCACTAAGGGATAGTTTTACCCTAGCATTTAATCATCAATTAGCTTATGTTCAGTTACAAATAAAGTAGTGAACTGAGCTAATTCCTAGTATCTTATATGGATTCATGCAATCTTCTTGGCATAATATGGATGTCCATTGGCGCTTTCTGCAGTGTTTTTCAGTTTCCTAGAGTGCCCCCCATCCAAGTATTAACTAGGACCAAATAAATCAATGATGCAATTTTTTTATATGTTTACTTGGACATAATTTCATGTATATGCTTAGTCTGTATACATAGGATTGTCACTTAACATTATTATATTTTACAGATGAAAATATGAGGGTTCTTTAATGAAATCATTTAAATTAAATTTTACAGGCAAATGATATATTTTAGGGCAACTGCATAGCTTGAAAGCTAGGCATCTTTCCTAACCTTGCTCAGTAATTGGCTTATGCATGATAAAAATTTGGCTTTCTATATGTCAAACCAGTAAAAAATACCACTTAGAGGGGGAATATTACTGTCTAATTGGTAGCTAGACACAAACGAATATTCATATCACATTATAACATCTGATATTATTTTATGTGGATTATTCTGAATAAAGGCCACTGACATTAGCATTGAAGAAAAATTGGGGAATTACATTTTATAAAATATTACAATATAATAATTATATATGCTTAATAG